AAAAAAATAAAAAGAAAATCAGGAGAAGAGTAAACATTACTCTGAATTTGCCTCTTCTCCAGAAAGGGCTATTGCATTTTTGACTGTACATGGAACAGCTGTACCATGTTAAGTGGAAGAGAGATTTGTTTTGGCTTGTGTTTCCCAAGTTTCAGTTGATGTTCAGCAGACTCAAACAAAAAATGTATGGTAGAGGGGCCTAGGCTGAGAAAAACTGGTCATCTTATGGCAACTGGGAAGTAGAGAGAGCAAAGGGAAGAACTGGAGAGGGAGGGGAGGGAGATAGGCCCTTCCAGGTGATGCTCCCAGTGACCGGGCTCTAACCACCCGATCACCTTCCAAAAGCCCCACCTATAAGCACATGAGGCTCTTGAGGGGCATCTAGATATAAACCACAATGTCATCTTATAGATTTTCCAAGTTGACAAGGTGTGGACTTTTGATGGTTAATTCTATGTGTCAGCTTGACTGGGCAATAAGGGATCTAGATTGCAGTAAAAAATATTTGGGTATTGTGTGAGGATTTTTTTTCCGGAACCAAGGATTGAACTCAGGCCCTTGCGCTTGCCAGGGAAGCGCTTATCCCACTGAGCCATCTCTCTGACCCCGAAATCTGTTTTTTGGGTTTTTTTTTTTTTTGGCACTGGGGATCAAACTCAGGACCTTGCGCTTGTCCCCCACCCCAGAAAACTGTTTTGTTTTGTTTTGTTTTTGGCAGAACTGGGGATTGAACTCAGGCCCTTGCACTTGCCGGGAAAGTGCTTATTCCACTGAGCCATCTCCCCAGCCCCTAGTGTGAGGGTGTTTTTGAAAGTAATAAACTAAATAAAGTAGATGACCCTTCCTGTTGTAGAGAGAACTCATTCAAAGAGATGAAGGTCTGAAGAGAAAAAAGCTGACCTGGCCCCAAACAAACTCTGCTGCCTGGCAACCTTCCAAATGAGACACTGGCTGTTCTGGTTCTACTGCAGCCAGGTGGCTTCATGACTCAAAGTGAGATATTGGCTTTGCAGACTTTGGATTCACTGCACTCTATACTTTATGAGCTCACTCCTTATAGTATCTATCTATCTATCTATCTATCTATCTATCTATCTATCTATCTATCTGATTTATCTGCTATGTTTCTCTGAAAAACCTTTGTTAATACAAGAAGGAACTACTTTCCAGTTCATTCTATGACACCCAAATCAGACAAAGACATGATAAGAAATCAAAATTATGAACCAAACTGTATTTGGCAACATAAAAAGAACTAAATGCTAT